CCTTGATAGGAAATTGGAAAATGCTACAAATAAACATAGATTCCTGAGAGAGCTTGTTAACTAGTTCATCACTACTCTAATGACCAGTATACCTCATGGATCATTTGCATTTTTAGACATGTATTTATTTTTTATGGTATTGGCATCAAAACAAACACACAGACCGATGGAACAGACTAGCAAGCACAAAAATAAAACCACACATTTATGGTCAACTGATGTTCAACAAAGGTGCTAAGGACACACAATGGGGAAAGAACAGGGTCTTGAATAAACAGTGTTGGGAAAATTGGCTATCCAAATGCAAAATAATTAAATTGGGCTATAATTGCACACCAAATACAAAAACCATCTCAAAATGAGTTAAAGTCTTAAATGTAAAAGTATTAAAAACTATTAGAAAGAAAACTATTGTAAAACTATTAGAAGAAAACTTAAGGAGAAATCTCTATGACAATTGTCTGGGCAATGAATTTTTTAATATGACCCCAAAAGTACAGGTAATAAAAGCAAAAAATAGACAAATGAGATTATGTCAAACTACAAACCTTCTGCACGGCAAAGGAAGCAATCAACAGAGTGAAGAAACAACCTGTGGACTTGAAGAAAAAATCTGTAAACAATATATCTCTTAGAGGGCTAATATCCAAAATATATAAGGAACTCAACAGCAAGAAAACAAATAACTTAATTTAAAATGGATAAAGAAACTGAATAGATAATATCCAAAAGAAGACATACAAAGGCCAACAGTTATATGAAAAAAGTGCTCAGCCAGGTGTGGTGGCACACGCTTGCAATCCCAGTGACTACAGAGGCTGAGGCAGGAGGATTACAAGTTCAAGGCCAGCCTCAGCAATTTAGTGAGCTCCTAAGCAACTTAGTGAGACCCTGTATCAAAATAAAAAAATAAAAAGGTCTGGGGAAGTATTCAGTGGTAAAGTGCCTCTGGGTTCAATCCTAGTACCCCTCCCAAATGTTTGACATCACTAATCATCAGAGTAATGCAATGAGATATCACCTCATATATTATGGTGGCTATTTACCAAAAAGAGGAAAGATAGCAAGTGTTGGCCAAGATATGGAAAAAAGGGATCACTGTACATTGTTGGTAGGAATGTAAATTAGTACAGTCATTATGAAAAAAAGTATGGGTCTTCCTGAAAAAATTAAAAATAGAACTACCATATGATCCAGCAATTCCACTTCTGGTATATATTCTGAGGAAATGAAATCAGTATGCTGAAGGAATGTCCACACTCCCATGTTCATTGCAGCATTATTCACAATAGCCAAAATATGCAATCAGTGGGTGAATGGATGAAGACAATGTGATACACACACACACACACACACACACACACACACACACACAATGGAATACTATTCAGCCTGTACAAAAGAAAGCCATGTCCTTTGCAATGTGTATGAACTTAGAGGAAGTTATACTAAATGAAATAAGCCAGGCACAGAAAGATAAATGCCACATAATCTCACATACATGAGAATCTAAAGAAAGTCCAATTTATAGATGCAGAGAGTAGAATGATAGTTGCCAGGGGCTGGAGGGTTAGGGATGGGGGGGGTGGGGCAATGTTGGTCAAAGGGTATAAAGTTTCAGATAGATAAAATGAATAAGTCTGGGAGATCTATGTATAGCATGGTGACTATAGTTAACAATAATCTATTGTATACTTGACAAAATTGCCAAGACAGTAGATATTAAAAGTTCTCATCACAAAACATGATAAGTATGTGAGGCAATGGATACATTAATTAGCTTGATTTAACCATTTCATAATACATCAAAACATTATCCTGTATACCATAAATATATACAATTTTATTTCTCAACTATACTTTAGTAAAATGCTTGTTTGTTAACTAATAAAATTCTAGGCACTGTTTCAGTGAATTGGAAAATTTTCTATAGTATGATGGCAATATCTAGGTGGGAAAAGAATCCTTTCCTAGAGCCCCTTAATCACAGCACTGGGTTAAGCTGATCCTGAATAATAATAATAATTGCTACTTATTTAACTATTTAATTATTTAATACTTGATACTATATCCTGGGTACTTTATACACATTTATATAGTTCAATCCTCATGAAAGCCCTGTGAGATATTATATCCATATTACAGATGAAAAAACCGAGACTTACAAAAATTAGGCAACTTGATCAAGATCATACATGTAAACGACACAGATGGTATTTGAGTTTACCTGGTTTGGACTGCAGTCCAAACTTTCTACCCAGTTGTTCTGAATAATCAATATAATACTGTTACTGATGAAACCAACAGAATTGTTATAGCTTTGCTTGAGACATTTCCTCAATGATAAGTTTAAATATGCATACATCTTAGATGACTCTGGTACACTTCTCCATAGAAGAAGAACAGTGACTTAGATAACCCTGTGGTCCCTCCAGGTCTTCTAAGTTTAAGATTTGGACTATACAAACTATGTTCATTATTTTCTAATGTATAGATTGGATTGTTAAACATTTCTTTTTTTTTTTTAATTTTTAATATTTATTTTTTAGTTCTCGGTGGACACAACATCTTTGTTGGTATGTGGTGCTGAGGATCGAACCCGGGCCGCACGCATGCCAGGCGAGCGCGCTACCGCTGAGCCACATCTCCAGCCCTGTTAAACATTTCTTTAGATGTCTTCCTCAAAGACTAAGGGCTTGGGGCTGGGGATGTGGCTCAAGTGGTAGCGTGCTTGCCTGGCATGCATTTGGCACTGGGTTCCATGATTAAAGAAAAAAAATTTTTTTTGGTACCAAGGATTGATCCCAGGGTGACTTAACCACTGAGTCACATCCCCAGCCCTACAATGGGTTTTTAATTACAACTATCAGGGCTATCTCCACTTCAAATTGTACCCTCTCCTCATCTCTTAAGCAATATTTTACTCAGGGAAACCTACCACAGATTGTGTCAAACCTAAAACACAACAAACAATTTATCTCCAGGAGGTTGTCATAATTTCCCTGACTATAGTCGCTAATTATTGATGCTCTCCAGGTTTACACAAGAGATTGTCCATCTGTTTTCCTAGTTTGAACATGAAATGAATTTATGAAGGTAAGATTGGAACAACAGCCTCACTTCTCCCAGGCAACAAATTATAATGCTACATACCCAATTATCATATTACTGTAGAATCTGCTCAGAAGAAGATAACTGATCCCATCACAAACTAGCTGAAAGACCAGAAAATGACAAGATGATAAAATAATAGTAATAGCTAACATTTATTGAGTACCCACTGTGTATCAGATACCACTCTAAGCACTCTGCTGTATTAATTCTTTTATCCTATCAAGTTAATTATTTCCAGTACACTTTGCTGTTGCTCTACAAAAGTTATCTATGGACAGAGAGTAAAGATAAATTTAACAGATTGGCTCTAGCAACACAAACCACATTCTCCCAAATTCAGTTTCCCTGACTCATTGTTTGTGTTTCCTGGTATTGTATAGCTAATGGGTTATATACAAGGGCAGAATCTGAGAGATAAATACTTTAAATCTAAGCAGTCTAACTCCAAAATCCATTCTTCTAACTCCTACCTTATAGGAGGTGCTAGTGAGAAAATTGGGAACCAAGGAGATGAAGCAAATTCACTTAGGTTTCCAACCATAGCATTTCATAATTAATGCAAAATTTAAAAATGTTAAACATAGTTTTCAAACATTATTTGAAACATTATTTGAAATGTTACTAAGTAACATTTCAAAAAAATGTTTTGAAATGTTACTTAGTATTCTAAAAACAAAAACCAAATAAATACCTTGTAACAAGCCTTTTTGCATTACATATCATGTCAAAATCATTAAGAAAAGCAAGCAAGTGCAACTTGATTCTAATATTTGCATTTAATTTGAGGTATAGACATATGCCACATTTATTCCATAACATTTAACTTATTGTTTGTGAAAAATTATAATATGTAAGATTGAAAATGCCTACTCTCTGTTAGTAGCCAGGATAAAACATATGGAACGTAGTAAACATTTGGAGAAGCATCTGGACGAAACATTTGTCCAAACACATCCCTCATGTCTCCTTTTGAAAGTCATGTTCCTGTGATCCCCACTTACTAGAATTCCTCTTCCTTAGTATCAGAAAGGAAGGTTTAGAAGCATTAAAGTGTTCAGTGAAGAATCGAGGAATCTCCCATCTTTCCCCCTGGATTAGAGGTACTTACAAAATCATTTTCTCCTTTCATCATGCTGGGAAATCCTGCCTACTTTCCTTCCTACTGCCTCAGTACCTCTCCTGCTGGAATGAAATTCCCTCTTGAAACAATATCAGTAATTTAGACATCAAGGTTTGTGAGTGCCCCAGAATCCAGAATGAACTCAAGAAGTAGGACCCTGTATATAGGTTGTTAAATTGAAAGCTCTCAAACAAAACTAATTAGAAAAACTTATATATATTCATTGAAATGAATCCCTTTCAGAAATTCTAATTTAGTGAGTCTGAGATAGGGCCAAGGAACCTACATTTCAAACAAGTGTTCTGGGTGATTCTGACATAGGGAGTTGATTCAAAGACCATGAGAAACATAGTTCTATATATCATAGAGGGTAGCCTGGAGGCCCTGGGCCCAGAAGAGGCAAGCCATGGTAGGGAGACGTTCAAAGAATTGTGGAACTATTGGTATCTGGATGTGGATGACTACCAAAGATTAACTTCATCTACTTGAACTCTGCTTCATTCCATGTATCCAGCTTAGAAAATCACAACACAGATAAGAAATACTCATATGGTATAGAATAGAAAGAAAGTAAGTAATGGAAGGAGCTTCATTAAGCAAAGGACACTGAACTCTTAACCAAAAAGATGAAAGAATAAGTGATATTTTAAAAATCACCATTTTTTCAACTTTAAGGTATTACCTTCAGCCAGAGGAAAATCTTATTTTTCTAAGTCATGAGAAAATAAGTAAATACTTCTTAACTCATTCCCATTAAATAGCTTACCTTCTTCGTTGCCGGATCCCTGATAAAACCAGTAGCGTAATTGCAACTATGACGATACAAAATACCACACCAAAAATAATAATCCAGATGGGAACAGGTGGGTCCATGGGTGGTGCAATAGTAGAAGAAATTTTTAAAAATTCCAGAGTCTGGTCATTCAAAAAGAAGACATTGTTGATCCGGTTCCTATTCATTCTAAAATTCAATCATAATCAAAAACAAGCAAAAAATAAGACAATAAAAAGCACTAGAAACAAAGTATAGTACTGTCTCTCTACGATTATAAATATCTCTATAAACAAAGAATTCTCCTAGCAGGAGACTTCAGGTTGACTAGAAATTTTGCTAAGGACAATTGTGTTGAGATTTCATTTAGTAATTTGTAGTGCTGGTTGCCAGAGATGCCCATCTATTACACTGCTGACCTGCATTATTGTGAATCTCCTAGAAGTAACTAAAAGTCCTGAGCTTTAAATCAATCTGCCCACCATGTTTTATTTCCTGAGAAATAGCTTCTAGATTACAATAACAGAACTCTACTTAAGGTGCTTACATAAATACCAACAATCCCATGAGGTAAAACTGTATGTAAAAGGTGAGTGAGAAGAATGGGAAGAAAAGAAAACCAGGAACAGAAAAAACATGAACCAAGAGTGTCTTCAGATTCATCAACTTGATTTCTTTCCATCAACTCAACAAACATTTGCCAAAAACTTACTAAGTATTAGATAACTGTGTTAGGTGCTGGAGATACAATATGAAATAAAAATGTTCAGGAGCTTACACTCTTGAAGGGTAGCAAATTAGTATATCCACACCAATAGTGCAGTGCTAAATGTTCTGTGAAAGAGGCAAATATGGGCACAGTGGGAGCACAGGAGAGGACCAAGTATGTTATAGTAAATGAGCTGTGCTTTGAGGGACAAGCAGGAATTCTTTAGACCAAAGTATGCAGTAAGCACAGTAATAGAATCATGGTAAAGTACTTCAGTAAACTGCAAGTGGTTCCATATGACTAAAGGCAATAGTGGTTCAGGAAACCAAAAACCTAGAAAAATCTCAAGGTAAATGTGTTACTTTTCCCTTTATTTCCCTGTATTTTTGGTGGTAACAATAGTTAGAAAGGCGTTGGTAGCAAAGACTTATTTAAATGAAAACAAATAAGTGAATTTCTAATTGGAATTACAAACTAGGTGAAACAATTCCTTGGAGATATGTTATGGTCTTTACTGAATTCACACTATACAAATAGACTTCATCTACCTTTAGAGCAGCCTGGAAAATAGAAAAATAATATGAACCTTATGTGACTTAAAGTTTCCTAGTAGCTTCACCAAAAAAGTAAAAAGAAACAGGTACATTTCATTTTAATAATGTATTTTTGTCTAACATATCCAAGAAAATATAATTTCAAAAATATTGATTATATTGAATTGTTTTATATTTTGTTCTATACTGCCTTAGAAATTTGGTATTTTACACTTAGCAAGCATCTCATTTTGGACTAGCTATAGTTCAAGTGTTTGATAGGTATACCTGGCTGGCAGTTCCAATACTGGACAGCCTAGGTCTAGAGCCTGATAGTAAGTAATGACTTGAGAAATGCCACAGACCAGCACTAGCCCATCAGAGAAAGCCTTCTTTAGCAAATTAAGAAGAAAAAAAATCTATAATGAGATCTGGGGTGTTGATCAGTGGTTGAATACCACTTAGTAGTATGTGTGAAGCCCTAGGTGCAATCCCCAGCAACACACACACACACACACACACACACACCCTATATTGAGGCAATCAGGTAATCTATAGCAAGGGATAATTTAAATGTTTTTATCAAACCAAGAAATGGTTTCCTTTTCATAATTAAATATTGATAATTTGGGACCACAATCCTTTCCACAAAATAATGAACCCCACTACTAACATATAACTCAGAGAATAATGAAAAGTTTTTCTGCACACTGATTCTACCTACCCGGTTGGTCAACCCTTTGCTGCACTCCAGGCTGGAAATGTATTCTATCACCTCTCAGGCTGAATAAAAGTTCTGGCTCATACACAGATTAAATCTCCTCCACTATAGGAGTTCCCATTTGGCATCAGTCACCATGAATATCTTTCAACTAGGACCAGAGTTGAATTTGGCCAGATCCTCACAAAAGAGCAACAGCATACATCTTAGAATAGCTGCCCCTTTCCTTGCATCATTCTACAGGTATAAAGAGTATAGATTTAAAACCACTGTAGGTATGGAAGAATATGCCTAGGTCAAGTCTTCACTCTTTTTAAACTTTCTAGCATAGTGTTATGGGTTAGATATTAGGTATCCCCCGAAAGCTCATGTGTGAGACTATGCAAGAATATCCATAGGTGAAATGATTGGATCATGAGAGCTGATCAGTTGATTGATTAATTCACCCAATCAGTGAATTAATCCCCTGATAGGGATTAACCAAGTGGTAACTGAAGGCAGGTAGGGTGTGCTGGAGAAGGTGGGCACTGGGGACGTGCCTTTGGAGTATATATTTTATATCTGGCAAGTGGAGTCTCTCTCTCTCTGCTTCCTGATCATCATGTGAGCTGCTTCCCTCTGCCATACTCTTCCCCTGTGATGTCCCACCTCACCTCCAGCCCCGAGGAATGGAGCCAGCTATCTATGGGCTGAGACCTCTGAAACCTTGAGCCTCCAAATAAACTTTTTCTCCTCTAAAATTGTTCTTGTCAGGCCTTTTTGTCAGAGCAATGAAAAAGCTGACCAAAACACTAAAAAGCTTTAGCAAATCAATAAATCTCTTTGATCCCCAGTTTCTTCATTTCTAAAACAAGGAAAATGAGCCTGTGTTAAAAAATTATTGGCATTAAAATTAAATGCCACAGATGCATAAGACATGACTTATGGACCAGAAAATGTTATGTAAATATGAGGTGGAACTATTTTGCCCAGCCACATAGATTCTTCGGCCCTGAAATTCCTACTCTCTAGGTATCATCTCCTTTCCCCTCCCCCACTCTATTCTTCCTTCTTAGCACTATTTCTTTTATTTTTATTCCAGTCTGGCATACCCTACTCATTCCTAACATAAATTCTCATTTTATTGGCCATCCCTACATCCTAAATAGCTTCTCTTGCTAAGGCCTTTGAAACAGACATTTAGTTGAGAACATTTATCATCTTTCCCTACCTTTACCCCAAACAATCTTCCTCCTCACATCAACTGAAGCCTAGTTTAACTACAGTGCTGTCATTTTCCCTGAAGCCCTCCCAGATCACAAGACTTGAACAAAATCTCTTTTACCATGAAATTTGATATTGCTAGTTATTACTCCCTAAGGGGTGGGTTTTAATTGTATTCTTTTTTAATATTCACTTTTTAGTTTTTGGTGGACACAATATCTTTATTTATGTGTGGTGCTGGGAATCGAACCCATTGCCTCACACATGCTAGGCAAGCGCTCTATCACTGAGCCACAACCCCATCCCTTAATTGTATTCTTAGTGGCAAAAATAATTTAGTTCAAAGACCCTTATTAGAACAGATTCAAACATTTCCTGTTGCTATAGATCCTCAGTGCTTTTGCTTCAGCAAGAAAAATAGACATTTATTCATAAAAATCTTTAGCATTTGATTAAATACTCATTATTTTAATTGTTAATATTTTATAGACAGTAAATGAGTTCTTTCACTAGAAATTTCTCCTTGGTAAAGAGAATAATATGCATTTCAGCAATTTGTAAAACTTTTGTGGGGATGGTTACTTTGTTTTGTTCTTTCTTTCTGTGGAAATAATTTATTTCCTCAACTTATTTTTTGAACATACATTTGCCCAACATCAATCACATGCAGCATTTGATGTTCTGACACACACAAAGTGTGAATTAATTGAAATAAAACCAAATTACATTCCTTTACTCCTTGAAAGTAAAAAATTAAGTTTCACTTTTGAATGTTTGCTATGATTCCAAGGAGGAAAGGGGTGCAACTCTTAGGAAAAATTGCCCCCTTGAAATGGGCAAAAAAGGTTACTCATTCCTAACATAAATTATCATTCTATTGACTATCCCTATCTCCTAAATAGCTTCTCCTGCTAAGACCTTTGAAACAGACATTTAGTTGAGAACATTTATCATCTTCCCCTACCTTTACCCCAAGCACTCAATCTTTTTTTTTAACCAAATTTCCTTCTTAGTATTATCTTTTTGGGCAATTTCTACATCATATTGTCTTTGAGATATTTTGCAAAACTATAAGTTCTAGAAACCTAACATAATGCAAATTATTTTTGTCCATAGAAAATCAAATAAACTGTGTCTGGTAGAACATGATCCATAACTGCCTGATAGAATGATGGATGCATCTATTTGTAAATGTATTTCATCATTCTTAATTCCTATATATGTGTGGTTCCTTAAAGTCCCCTTTGAAATAGTTTCAATGAGCTAGGCACACTGATGCACACCTGTTATCCCAGCAGCTCAGGAGGGTAAGGCAGGAGGATCTCAATTTCAAAGCCAGCCTCAGCAACTTAGCAAGGCCCCAAGCAACTTAGCGAAATCCTATCTCAAAATAAAAAATAAAAAGGCTGAGATACAGCTCAGTGGTTAAGTTGAATTCCTGATACCAAAAAATAAAAAAGTGAAATACTTTCAACATCTTACTAGTTCCCTCATTAATTAAGGAGATAACAAAACCTTTGATAGTATTCATTTTTAATTTGTATGAGTCATGATCTTTTTTTAATATTCATTTTTTAGTTGGATACAATATCTTTATTTTATTTATTTATTTTTATGGGGTGCTGAGGATTGAATCCAGGGTCTCGCACATGCTAGGTGAGCACTCTACCACTGAGCCACAACCCCAGCCCATGAGTCATGATCTTTATTGTTAAATTATATTTTAAAGGTAAAGACTGAAAAAGATAAGTCTTCAGAGACTCAAGAAATGATGATATTTTTCTAGGTTTTAAAATAAAATTCAATGGTATGATTTGTTGCTTAAACTCCTTACATGTGAGCTGGGGTTGTGGCTTAGCGGTAGAGCACTCACCTAGCACTTGTGAGGTGCTGAGTTCGATCCTCAGCACCACATAAATATAAGTAAGTAAAATAAGGGTATTGTGTGCATTATACAACTAAAAATTTTTTTTAAAAAACTCCTTACATGTATTAAATCATTTAACCTATTTAACCTCAGTAGCTCTGAGAGAGGGGTACCATAATTACATTTTACAGATGATGAGAGGAAGGCCAAAAGAGGGTGAGTAACTTGTCTGTATTCCAATAGTTATCAACAGGCAATGCCAAAAATTAAAAACCTAGGCATTCTGGCTCCTGACAGCCTGTACCATTAAAGAATAGGGCCACAAAAGGGTTCTTGCCAAAAGGGGACAATAGCGGGCTGGGGCTGTAGCTCAGTGGTAAAGCACTTGCCTTGCAGGTGTGAGGCACTGGGTTTCATCCTCAGCACCACATAAAAATAAAGATACTGTGTGCTCATCTACAATATATATAAAGACAATAGCACGCATTCTTAGCTAATGGTTAAACCTGGGTTTCTTAACTATAGCATGATTGACTTTGAAGTCAAATAACTCTTTGTGTGGGGTGCTTCACTGTGCATCATAAGATGTTTGGCAACATCCCTAGCTTCTGCCTACTTGATGTTGGTGGCACACCTCCCACTTCGAGTTGCGACAAGAAAAATGTGTCCACACATTGTCAAAGGTCTCTTCAGAGACAAAATTGCTCCTGGATGAGAGCCAATGATCTACCTCTAATCTCTAATAAAAATTAACAAAAATGAAATCTTTGACAACATAATCAATAAATCAAATGTGGGGCAGAATGAGAACTCTTCCATATCTATGAAATCAGCAAGTCAACTAACCAAAAGCAAGCATATTTAGGGGTAGTTACCTGATGGCCGACTGTACTTCAACAGCAGGAAGAGTATGATTTTTTGAAGGGTCTGTAACCACAAACCAGAATGACACCCTTTGGGTTACATTGCAAAGTAGGACATGGGAAATTCTGCAGACAATGGAAAGAAAAAAATACATCGTAAGAATATCATCCCAAATGGCATTACACTGTTTCTTCTGATGCAATTACCATTTTATGAGTCACCTTAGTTACATTTGCAAAGTTATTTTCTACCATTTGAAGGAATGACTTAATAAGAAAAAATTATATAGGAAATTCTCATTGCTTTAAAATCATATACTCAGGAATCATTTCTTAAGAAGGAATCTGCCACAAAAATTAAAAAGGAATTAGGCAGTGGAGAACATTAAGGATATTGTTCTCTATCATCTAGCAGCTGAAACCTTCTCTGCTTCCTCAATACTGGGTCCCTCTCTAAACCACAGAAGCCTCTGGCATGTCCTCATCAAGTTTATTGGCCCCCTGTCCATTTTACCTTCCTCCTCTCAGATTCAATCAGAATCAATTTTTTATTCTTGATTCACTACTTGCACTGTCTGCCTCAACTTCTGTCCATACCCCACCACCACCACCAGAGCATTGGGACCCAAGAGGTGCCTTCCTCATGTACTTTTGAGGAAACAGTTCTCATGAACAGTTGCTTTTGTATAGCCTTGAACAGACCTCCAAACTTAAGTGTTATAATCAATTCACCAGCAGCCTTTGACTACGTGATTTGTAGTTACATGCTTTTCAACTACAAAATGGCAATGTGACTCACTCTATTCTATACACATGAATTACCCATAATTGAAAAGAGAGAAATGACATTGGTGTTTAGAGAAAAGACTATCTATATGAGGATGCATGAACCTCAAAACTATAAGAGAGTCCATATAAAATCAACAGTGCTAAATCATAAATTCTGGATGGCTTTCACTATTAAGAGCAAAGTAAGAAAAAATGGCATTCATATACACTGCATACAAATCAAACATAAAGCAATCACATTAACTGGAAAAAAATAGTTATTTGTTATTCTTTTAAAAGAGAATTTCATTTTATTATAGTCATTTTTACAATGTTGAAAGAGAGTACTCTTCTGTAAGTAGCTATCTGGAGAAATTCCTTCATTTTCTCCCTGGCAGGTAGAAAAGAAGATGCAAGTGGGAGGCCCCTCTGCCCAGGGCTGTGTCTGAGAGCACCAATGGGGAGGAGAGAGGCTTGAGCTTTCCTTGCGCTCCAGATAGCATGGGGCGCCCCACGTGCCACTCTGCCTCATGCTGTCCTCGTGTCCGAGGGGCAGGAGCCTGGCAGGTGCCAGATCCCTGCAAACGGCGCCCCACGCGCTTTGTCTGCCCCAACTGTCACTTGTTTCGTGTCTGGCTGCGACCACACACACGTTGCGAAACGATCCCTACTCGAAGACACTGATCTTGCTCCACCGCTCTCATGGGACTCTACCTGAGCAGGTGCCTGCACAGGTACCTGGGCACACGTAAGCCCGCCCTAGCAGCACGGCCTTTGAGGCCCAGGAGAATCACCCAGGAGCACCGACCTCTGAGGCCCAGGCCTGCCCCCCGCCCCCAGGACCCTGGCATCTGTAAACCTGCCCCGAGACACCCAGAGCCCCAGGATCGCTCCCAAGCCCCCCACAAGGTTCTGCACAGTGGGGACCACACCAGAGGCAGGAGGGCAGTGGGCACCCCGCCTGCGAGGTACAATCCGCACAGGCTGCCCCTCTGGCTACTCCTGACACCCCAACTTACCAAGGTCCGCTACGAAGGCATGAAGCGCAGACTTCGCCACGCCCCAGACCCAGGTTGGCCCCACAGCCCTTTCAAAGTCCACAAGAATCCCGAGGGTCCAGGGAGCCTCTACAGGTGCCCACCTTCCCAGCCGGCCCCAGACCCCTGTGCCAAGGAGACAGTGCTAAAGAACCTCAGCCAGTGCAACAAAGGGAAAAGGAAGTTTGATGGAGCCCTGTGGTTTGAGGAACCTGAGCCCAAGAGGAAGCAGCAGAGCCCACAGCGCAGACCATCTGCCTTCAGGCCCGTCATCAGAAACGGAGTGGAGCCATCCTTCCTGCCCAGGCCTGGGCC